GTTCTGTTGAGGATAGCCATGCTCAGCTTTTGCTCCCACCCGCAAAATACAGTGGCGTCCGTCTTTGTGTGTGCACCATTTCTTCCCCTCGCCCCCCAGCTGCAGGGTGGGGGTGGGGGGGGAGAAGGCATCTAGTGCTGAAAGCACCAGAGTGTCTGTATGCAGGAAACTTGCAGAGTTCCTCTTCTTCCTGGCCTGTGCGAACGGGGGATTTTCCACCAGGGCTTCCACACCGTGGCAGGAAGCTCCGCACTTGCTGGAATTCCCTCTTCCACACCCCTCATCTTCGGCATCCAGCTGATCTCCTGCAAGAGCGTTCAGCCTGAATAATGCTTGGGTGCTTCAGCACCACTTCCTGATTCAAGAGTCCACTGCATTCCGGTTTTTAAAAGTGGAAATAGAGAGGACAGAGGGAGCTGCTCACAGCTCCATCTGCACTACCCCCATACAGCCGAAATGACAGCAGAATTCCTTAACTGGGTAGCAACCCAGATTTGTTGGTTCAGGGGGCTTTCTGGGGCCGCGGTGGTGATGGTGGGGAGAAATGCGGAGTCTGCTCAGAAGAGACTGCAGAGTTTTCTCCCTTGGAATACCTCCTCTGCAAACCTTAGAGCGGACGGATTAGAATTCCTGCGCTGGTCCAGATGGGGTTTCTCTGGATAGCCCTGCAGTGATTCAGCAGAGCTATTTTTTCCCTTGGGGGACAGTTGGGCAGGTCTCAGGAAGAAGGAGCTGCAGCCCTGCAGCACGGCACAAGCTCCAGGCCCCTTGCAGGGCTGGGAAGACCTCTGGCGGAGACCTGCCCTTGGGCTGGAGGGTTCGAACCTCAGCTCCCAGAAGCTCTTCCCAGCATGGCCAAGGACTGGTGTGAGCGGAAGCTGCTCCTGTTCAAGGAATGGTCAGACTCAGGCTTGGTTGAGTCCTTTGGATGAGTGCAGCTCAAGCCGCTTGGGGAGGTTCATGCAGCCTCACCCGTGCTTGATCCTTGGCCAGTAAGAGCGAGCAGGGCGAGGTCTTCTGGCTGGGTAGGGAGGGGATTAAAGCCTCTTGTTGGCAAGGGAGGTCCCTCTCCACTTGAAGCAGTTGGTGGCGAGACCACCTGAAGAAACCCTCTCTGGATGCAGAGGAGCTAGTAGTGTTAGACTGGGGGGAGCATCCCCTTCCGGGGCATCTCGCAGAACCCTTGAGGAAGTCCCCACCTTCCCTGCCCCTTGCACGGAGCAGCCAGCCTGTAAAGTGTTCCGTATCTGAAACACAGAAGCGGAGCGAGTCAGAAGGGGTCTCCCAGACCATCTAGTCTGACCCCCGGCTCCCGTCGGCTGCGCTCTTGACATGCCCACCGTGTGCAACCACCTGCTTGTGATTCAGATTGCAACAGGGAGGCAAAGCGGAGATTGGAGGGTGACTGTGCTCAAGAAGGATGTGCAGGCGGCTGGGCTGGAAGGGCACCCCACCGGCTCGTTCTGCCCAGCGCAAGGAGGCCTCGCTCCCGTGCCAGCTGCCCGGGGCCTAGGCGTCTCCTGGGCTGCAGGGAAAACAGCCGCCCTGCAAAAAAGACTCTGCCTGGTGTCGGCCTGGGGTCCCGCCGAGACCCTGTGCCAGTTTCCACGCCCCTGTCGCTTCTTGGCCTTTCAGCCGAGGCCGACAGCAGGTGAGCTGGTGGCTTGGCTTCTGCCAGGGACGGGCCGCCCCAGCTGCCCATCGCTCAGCGGCCCGCAATGGCAGCTGTCGCGGGGAAGGGACTCTCGGCTGCGGCAGCGCTGCCAGATCAGTGGCTCCTTTCCCGTGGAGCGCATGGGCTTTGTCACCATGCCTCCCTGCCAACGAGGCAGCTCGCATCAAATGCTCTTTCCCAGCGCATCTCAGACTGGGCTGCAACAGACGTGATCTGGTCGGTCCCAAAACGGGGAAGGGAAGTGGATTGACCGGGAAAGGAGTGGGGCTTCTTTTTTTCTTCTGCAGGTCTCTTGAGGTAGAAACTTGCCCTGGCTGGTATGCCTGGTATGTCTTGAAATATCTGCTGCAGCATCCCCACATTCATGACTTTCATTTGCAGCGGCAGATTACCTACAGATTACCTAGAGTGAACAATCTGGCCGAATTCCAAAAATTCTGTGGATGCTCTCACCCAACCTGTAGTTGAAACGGGAGGTCATGGAGCAGCAGGAGAGCAGGATGGGTGGTTTCGCTCTTGTAGAGCAAAATCTACATTTCAGTTTAAATGGAAAACAGTGGGTGCTTTGCATGATAAAGCTCACAATGAATATGCTGGGCCCTCTTACCAAACACACACCTTTTGTGGCTGAGCCTTGTTACCGTATTTTTTGCTCTATAAGACGCACTTTGTTCCCCCTCAAAAGTAAGGGGAAATGACTCTGCGTCTTATAGAGCGAATGTGTGTGTGCAGTAAGTCCGTCAGATGTGCAGCCCATGGGGAAGTGATGGGGAATGTGCTTGTCATTGTGTGCCCATTTGATTCAGAATATTTTTTTTTCTTGTTTTCCTCCTCTAAAAACTAGGTGCATCTTATGGTCAGGCGTGTCTTATAGAGCGAAAAATACGGTATTTAGCTTAGGGGCGGGTGCCTCCCAACTGGTTATGGAAAGAGGAGAATCTTTAATAACATTTATTTAAAGAGAGAGTTTCCGAGGAAAGAGAATGGGGTACTTAAATGCACCGTGTTGTAGAAGCAGGAACAATTAAGAGCCCAGTGGATCGATAACATGTTGAAGCCCCTCTAGAGCTGAGGGCAACTTCCCATTTTGTGGCTCACGTGGGCTGGAAATACTATCTAATTATTGCATTACAGAGGGCTTTGAAAGAGAGAGTCTGCTGCAGAAAATCCGGTGATCCAGTTATAGTTAACTGCTGCTTGATCTGTCTGTTAATAAAAGACCTTAGCACACACTTAACGTACTTCTGCCGCTGGAGTCGGTGGAACTCGGAAGCGCTGACGTGCAACCACAGCGTGCCTGCTCTTTTCAGAATTGCACAAATTTGGCATAGTTTAAATACCTCATAATGTGGTAATACAACGCCTGGCCTCAAAAAGGTAGCGGATGGCTCCCAGAACCGCAATTTCCCCACAAATAGTAGCAAAAAGGATCAAGAGCTTTGTAGCTCCTCCTTGATCACCGGGAGAAAAAGGAAAAGAACATAGTTAAAATTTGTGCAGTGAATATGTTTTGGCATGCATGTGAGGGATGAAGTGGTAAACTGTGTTTTTCTTTCCCTTTTTCAAAATGGATGTTTTTATACTAGCTGTCCCTGGAGGCACTGGACTGGGGATGATGGAGGTTGTAGTCCAAGTATCTGGAAGGCACTTAAGTAGGGAAAGCTGCAGATCTGGATAGAGGTTCCCATCTAGTTAGCAATTGTGTGAGAAGGGAAATTTCATCAGTGTCGCCATCCCAGGGATGGAGAGAAGCTGCAACTGCCAAACTTCCCTCAACCGTAGAAGCCGTAAAGAGGCAGGAACCTTGTGCAGGCATTTGGTCACAGACGGGCACGTCATCTCGGGCCGATGGCTGAGTCACACACCCGCCCCGGCCGTCGGCTGTTACGGTGCAAATGGCCCTGCTTGCTGCCTGCCGCCGCTGCATGTTTCGACTGCATGTTTCGACTGCACGTGCTCGGAAGCAGCACAGCCTGTGTGGATGCTGCCGCCACTGATGCCGCTGCTTGTTGCAGAAAGCCGACCGCCTTTCTCAGGAGACGGCAGGAGTCACGAGAGGCACATTCCGGAGCAGGAATGGGCCAACAGGCCAGGTTCCCTGGGTTCCTCAGGCACCGTCTTGTTCCTCCCACCCCCAACTCCTGTTCCACATCTGCAGTCGCTTCCTGCACTGCATAAGCAGGAAAACGGAGCAATTTCCATATTGTCCAATTATACAAGAAGCACATCTTTCAAAATAACTGCCTAGCACTGTCCGGTCAATGGAAACTTGTACCACAGTTTATTTTGAGTCTGTAAAGGGCCACAAGAAATTGTGGCTTTTGAACAAGAAAAAGCCAGAAGCCGCATCTTGCACCTTTTCCTTTAGCCTCATGCAAAACCCTGATGACGAGGGCCCTGTGCACCACCGATTCTGGCCATACAGCTCATGCGAAAAGAGCAGATGCGCTCCAGAAAAGACAACTGCGGAGTCAGTCAGTGCCAGACACTAAGGAAGCCGGGGTAAGCCACATGCTCGGCTCTTGCCTCAGTCTCTGGCTCTGCTGCTCATTTTGACCCTGTTTGCAAGCAAGCAGCGCTGGCAGCCTCGTCACTGGGAGTGCAGGAGAGGCTCAGCCCCTGGGCCGCTTGAGGAGAAGGCCCCGCCGGGCGTGGGGGCAGCCCAGCCCTCTCCCTCTTTCCCAAGCAGCGAGCTAGTTTACTGCGAAGAGGGAGCCTCTTCGGAAGTGGCTGATGCAGAATGGGGAGAGGGCAGAGGAGCCGCTCCCAAGGCAGGGCTGGCGCCGGGCGCACACGCGTGCGCGCACATGCTTAAGCAAGCTTCAGGAATCGCTCGGCCACCTCCTGCCCCTCTGTCGCCATCGTCTTCGCATGGCCCTTCCGAGAGGAGGATGGACGCTGTCAAAGGCAGGAAGGGGCAGGCGGGAAGCCCTCTTCACACGAATGTCCCCCGTGCCCCCACTTATCCCCTGCCTCGGGGGCACTCCGTGTTCTCTTCCCTCCTCTGACTCAACAGGGACTTTTTATGGCCTATTGTTCTCAGGGCAGCCAGTGGAGGCTGTGGACACATGTGCTGCTTAGCAGCAGAGCGTGTTCTAAATATACTTGGGAACAGCGCTCTCCGGGTGGAGATAACGCCGTTTGTTCTGTCATGAGGAGGAGGAAGAGCGGCGTTCCGGGATATGGGACTATGAAAAAACTGGCATCTTGGCCTAGTGGATTCTCTCAGGAGGAAGACTTGCCGGGTCTGACTCTCCAAGATAAGGCTGCCCTCTTGCGCAAGCCTTCGTGTGGGCGTGAGCACGCTCCTGGGGCTGTGAGTTCTGAGCACATTTCAACCCTCCCAGCCGTTCCTACATGCAGGGAAGCGTCCAGAAACAAGGAACCAGCGAGAGAATGCTCTCTTTTGGTTCCTGGCAGCGGTCAGTGGCACACGTGAGCTCCGTAGGGGAGCTCCTTGGGGCGAAGAGTTGGGCGTTCCAAGACGTCTGCCCTTAACACCGGCCCACTTGCCCTGCTGTTCCTTAAACCTCCCACTGGCCAGAGAGCCTACTTAATTTAACCTGCTGAATGCCTGCCAACCAGCGTGGTCTTATGTCCTACTTTCCAGACAACAGTCCTCAGCTTGGAAGCATCTTTTCTTGGAAAGGTTAAGGCGTTGCCCCATTGAACGGAAGGCAAAGAACCCTCCAGAGGAAGAGCACGACGGACCTGGCTGGCGCCATCAAGACTTGAGCCCCGGGGAAGTGGACGGAAGAGGCACGTGGGTCCCAGGTGCAGCAGCTTCTTTATGGCAAGGTACATTCTATTTCCATTCTGTTTCCAGGAATTGCGTATAAATCGGTGTTTATCCATCTAGATTTGCACGGGCAAAACGTTTATGCAAAATCCCAGTCTGTGTCTGTCTGTACCTTTTGTGTGCGAGTGTGTTTGTTGGGTGACGTGTTACATTTCCATGCTGGGGCCAATTGGTAAACAGATATGGGCATACTGGGAAGGTCCATACCTGAGTGGAAGTGCGTGTTGCTGGTACAAAGCTGGCCTGGGGTGGCATCCCTTGTATCTCCAGGGAGGGAGGGGAAGGACCACTTCCCTGAGACGCTGGCGAGATGCTGTGACAGAGTGCGGAGCAACGGCGCAGAATCTCTCTCAGCCAGTGGGCCAGGCTCCATTTCGGAGACCCCTGAGGGACCGCCTTCCATAGGAGCAGGGCTGGAGGCAAAGCGCTGGAGCACAAGGGCGAAAAGGGGTGAGAGACCCAAGCACGAGGATATCCAAGAATGTCAAGAATATCAGGGCAGGGGCTAATTATACCAAAGCCCTAGGCAAGGCATGAAGACCTCCTGGAATGCGGAAAAACGTTGCCAGAGCTGGGAGACTGCCGAAGAAAGGAGGGGCCTGTCCAGGCGAAGTGTTTGTGATCATCTGCAGGACCCGGTGGCGGAAGGGGGAGCTCAGCTGGTCTGTCTTGTGTGAGGTGGCTGCTGTGTTTGAGCAGAGAACGGGGTTCAGGGGAGCAGGTTGAGGCTTTGGGTTAGCCCCCATCACAGGCCGGGCCAAGATCCTTTGGCTTCACCAGTTTCCCTTCCCTTCGAACTGGGGTGGGGAGGGCTTCTTGCGTAACTCCCGTGCTCCTCGACAGGGCTTCTTGTCGGGTTCGTGGCAGTGTTTGTTCTTCCTTCGCAACTTCGCAACTTCGCAACAGGTTGTTTTCTCCTTTCCCAGAAATGAGTGGCCGTTGGTGTCCGTCTGTCCATCCGTCTGTCCATCCCCTGGTAGAAAATAAAAATCAATGCTGTACTGAGCGTGATGGGGGTCCCTCTGCCTGAGCAGACCTCTCACCCACAGAGACCTCCCCCCAGAATCTGCTCAGCTCCCATCAAAACTGGGCCAAGACATCTTGCTGCCTTAGTTCAAGCTTGGAAAGCACCTTTCCCCACGTAGGAAGAGGTCGCCCATGAAACTGGCGGAAGGGCCCGTTGCTCAAGGCAAGCCCTGCCCAGCCTGGTGTCCACCTGGGGTGTTAGACTACAACTCCCAGGAGTCTGCTGGCTCTGCTGTCGGGGGGGTGGTGGTGGTGGTGAGTCACTAAAGGGAGCCGAGGTCTCAAGCAGCTGCGTGGGGCACCAGCACAACAGACAGAAGGCTTTTCTTTTACCTGCCAAACTCCAGGCTCAATTGTGGTTCACCCCAAGCAATAAAAAAGCATGAAAATTGGTGCATACACTGGCGCGGGCCTTTGTCTGTGCAGCCACATGATTTGCAAGGAAAGGTTTCCAAGATAATGCATTTTGGGTTGCTTTTACTCAGGTACATTGTTTCTTTAGTATATATCTTATAGACTGTGTGTTTCCAAAAATGTACATTTTTGGGCGGAGAACTCTGTTGCGGAATTCGGAAGGGTGCGACGCTGCTGGAGGACTGGGTGTCTGTTCCCACTTTGGTGCCAGCCAGCATGGACCGCGGCCGGGGGTGGTCGGCGCTGCAGTCCAGCAACGGTACAAGGGCCACATTCTCCGCTTCTTGCCCAAACTGGGAAGCAGAGGTGGTCCCCGACTGCAGAGTGGGACTTTTCGCAACCCCACCTGGAGTTGCCAGGGGTGGAAACTGACCTCCTCGTTTCAGCTGCCCTGGCGCCCGGGCTCTTGCCCTCTTGCCTGGATTGAGTCGGGGAATGGAAAGTGCCTCGCTGCTGCAGGGCTCGCGCCCGTTCTGCTCTTGCAAACCTGCTCGGGTTCCACTTGCAAAGGTCAGGCGGAACCACGGCCGGGGGGATGGGCGCTGCTTTCACCTGTCTTGCAGGCTCGGAGGCAGCCCACTTCCGATGAGGCTTCCTCTGCTTCGCTCTGCCACTCTTTGTGTCACGTTCTGCCTGACGGGTGCGCCATCTGTGGGTGCTGCCTAAGGGGAACTTGGAAGGAGTGTCTTTGTCATGCTGCTTTTCTGCTCTCCTCCTCCTCTTCGACCCAGAAGGTCTTTCAGACTCCTTGACATGCCGCAGCAGCTGTGCAGGCACTCCGTCGTTATCCCACGCTCAGGTCTGGCCAGCGGCGGAATGGGGGAGACCCCCATTCTGGGATGCCAGCCCTGACGCTTATCATCTCAGCCCTCTTGTGGGACAGCGGTCCTCCAGATGTGTAGGCCTGAGCATCCGTCACTCCCAGGGCCAGCCTGACCCTGTTGCTTGGTGGCCCTCGGGAGAGTCCATCTCTTGTAGCCCAGCTTTCCTTGTAGAGACTTTTGAAGAGGGACTCTTGGATCAATCGGCAGTGCTCCGGCCTGACCATGGGGCAGCAGGATGGCTCATTTGATTGATGTCTTGTGACTTGATTTCTTGGTTTGCTCTTCCACCTCTGGGTCTGCAAAAATATCCTGCCCTCCGCTTTGTCGCACTTCTGGGGAGAAACCCCCGCTTTGCATTTTCTCATCCATGGCGCAGCTTCACTTGTAGGAGCTTGCATTTTGAAATGTTATCACAAGAAAGCCCTGGAAGGGAAGGGAAGGGAAGTGGTCTTTTCCACCAAGTCATCTTCCTTCCAGCTTGCCGGCAATATCCATCATCAGACAGTGAATGTAGACCACAATTGCATAAGGCATGTGAGTCCACGTGGTTTTACGTGCGTTGCCGATCAGCCTGGGAAAAATACTGGTGGAAAAGACTGGGGTGGAGAATGAGCCTTATGATAGCTTCTGATCTGCTGGCTGACTGTGCAGTCCTCGATAAGGTTGCAGCTACAACCAGCACTGGATTTCCAGCAACAGCAAGAGCGCAGGGCGAAGCTGGGATCTTCTTGCTCTTGGCGGTGGCATCCCATGAACGGCTTCAGCAGTGCGTATTGCTGGAAGCATTCTGGTAGGTTGCTTTGCTTCCCCAGAATTGCTTCCCGAGGGGTGCACCGTGTTCCTCAGTAAACAACCGATCCCCCCAGGTTTAATAGACATGACACGTCACAGCAGGAACAAGGATGGTTCCTGAACCCAGTCATGGCATTTCACAGCGGTCAGTTTGGTCTTAAGAAACCATGGCTTGTTCTGTGGTTTCCCTGTACCATCATGGCTTGTTGTCTTGGCCCTGGTTTCCAAGGTTCTGGTATGTATCTACCACAGAGTCCCCTGGAGGGAGAGGGAGCGGCAGCAGCAGGAGCTGCTCTAGCCACCCAAGCTCCATGTGTGGACCAGTGAGAAGAGGCAGGTGACATAGGCACTTTTTTTTTTTGTATTTTTGTATTTAGTGGTAATTTATTATGTTCTATTGTATTTCAGTGTATCTTATTGTGTTGTAAGCCGCCCCGAGGCTTCGGCAAGGGGCGGCATAGAAATGTTATTAATAATAATAATAATAATAATAGGCAGGCAGTACTGGATGCCAGGTGCAGTGGCTGATGGGATAGATGCCAACAGTGGGAGGACTGAGTGGGAGGATGGAAATTATGATCACGTAAAGACAAGGTTTGCTTGCAGCTCACATTTTCGTGTAAAGAGGAAATCTTTGAAGTAACAGAGTTAACAGCAGAAGCTAGGACTAACAGAGGAAGAAGGTGCCCCGGTGTGTATGCCGAGAAGCGTATCTGTAGTGTGGAAGAAAGTTCAAAACTCTTGTACTTTGAGTCTTCAGCATCCAGTGCTTTAAATCAGCCTAACCCCTTTTGGTTGCATCAGATTACAGCTCCCCTCAGCCGTGCTAGTGTCTTCTAGTTGCACTGGATTACAGTGCCCATCAGCCCCAGCCCACTTAGCCAGTGGGTGAGAGATAATAGGAGAGGTTGTCCCCAGTTAGAGGTCATGTGAGCCACTCTTTTCAGGGGAGTATGCCGTTCAACACCCCCCCCCCCCCAGAAATCCTCTATCATTTCCCCTGGTCCTCTGGAGACTCCTTTCAGAAGAAGTCCATCATGGTGGTGGAATATCCCAAAGTTGAGAGGCCTTCACCATGTGCATGTCCAGCCTGTCCTTGAAGACCCGCACCGATGGGGCCTCAGTGACCTCCCGTGGAAGCCCCTTCCACACCCTCGGGGTCCCGACTGTCAGGAAGAGCTTCCTGGCATCCAAATGGATCCTTGGTTCCCTGAGCTTTGCTCTGTTGGAGCGCGTCCTGCCTTCCTCTGCAGAGGAGAACAGGTCTCTACCCATCTCCATGTGACATCCCCTCACATACCTGTATGTCACCAACAGATCCCCTCTGAGTCTCCTCCAGGCTGAAGAGACCCAGTTCCCTCAGTCTTGCCTCATACGGCATCCCCTGCAAACCGGCCACCAACCTTGTGGCCCTGTGCTGCACTGAGTCCAACCTGGCTAATCCTTCCTGTAATGAGGGGCCCAAAACTGAGCACAATACTCCAGTTGCGGGCGCACCAGAGTCGCATAGAGTGGTAGCAATCGTTTGAAATTGATTCCCATCAGAATCAGAAAGAGCAGAAAGAACAACGTTGGTGTTTCTCATGCCCGTAGCCCACATGTCAAGCTCAGGGTGGTGTAAATGGGTGTGGATTTCCCCTCCTTTCACAGCTGCTGTGCCCATGCTGATCTTGTGAGGTCAGAGAGCTTGGAAACAGCTGCCTCAGGGTTTCCCATGGCCTTGCTGATGATCGAGGATGCGAACTCACATTTCTTCAGCTGAAATCTAACATGCGTTTCGTTGCACTAACCTTGACGGGTTCATAGCACCATGAATATCCGCTGATCATAACTATCCGAATATCACACTATGTGCAACCTAGACAGAGCAATATGAGAACCGTGTGTGCTTCTGAGCATACCATGACTCCACTGAAACTGCAGCAGAGGCCTGGGAAACCCCCAGCGCCATCATCACAGCAACAAAAACGCTCCCGTGCAAGACCAAAAGACCCAGAAAAGTTTGGTTTCGGTCTGCTTTGACGGAAAAACCCCCGAAGATGTGAAAAATGGCATGTGCTGAACGAGCTCTTGCATCCAGAGCTCAAAGCCTTTGGGGAAATGGGTGCTTGCCGCAGTTCCAGTGCTACATGAGCAAAATTTTAAATGCAGCTCATAGTGCATTAGTGTCTCCTCCCTTTAAAGGGACCAGTTTTTGGCAGCCAGAAAATGGGGGAAGGATGCCCTTTTGTGCTTAGAGTCTCGGGAAACGTGGAAATTGTTCCTCACTCTCCAGGGAAAAAATGTTGCTCTTGCCACAAAGGGGGTGCACATCGCGCCACCCTCCTTTTGTGAGCAAAGGCTACCCTGGTCTCTCTTGACAGTTTGCCTTTTCACAGCTGTTGAGAAACCAAGGAGCAGCGGTCTTACTTGGAGTCTCTTCAGGGCAGTGCCCAGGGACTGTTCTTCCTACACCTTGGCAACAGGTATTTATCCCCCACTGCCGCTTCGGATTCCTGCAGTCAGGCACATGTGCATCACTGTGGTTCTGTCTGTCTGTCTGTCTGTCTTTCATTAATTCATTCTTTCTTTTGAAAACAAGCGGATAAAAGATCTAACAGCAGGGTGCCTCTCCTGCATTTCGGATGGCCAATCAGCTGCTGTCAGAACAGGGACAAAAACTTAAAATCAAGTTTGTGATCACTAATACAGAAAATGAACATATCTAAGTAATAAAACGTCATTGATTTTTTTATTATAAAAGAAGAGAGAGCAACATAAAACTACTGGGATATTTGACATTGCATTTGAGAAACTAACACATCAATATCTGGTTTGACGGAAGCAGTTGTAATTCTCATTGAGTTCTCAAGGTGCTCATCAGATATTCTGGTTCTAATTTTGCTCTTAATGTGCTTCATTCTTGAAAATAGTTGCTCACAAATGTAGGTGCTGCCAAAAATTGAAGACTTGAATAAGGCATGATTGTGAAGTGAGGGATACTTGTCTCTGAGAAGACAGGACCTCTGAAAGTCCATGATCAGCTTTTAAGTTGAATGTCAGATTGCATTCCGTTTGATGATTGGCAGGTAACATATTTATGTCGACTGAAAAAGGAGTTGCAAATATACCAAAAAAGTGATTATTTCCTGGAAATTTTGAAATCTGTTTTCAAATTCTTGTATCAAATCGAAAAGCAAGACTGCATATTTTTCGCTTTCCACAGGCCTGTGTTTAGCCAATGTGTCAAAATGTACAAAATTGTTTGCAAGAGTAGGTTGAATTAGTATTGATAATAGCTGTGTTTCACTTGCCAAATCACCATGAGCTCATGTAATGCCCAGTGGTGTCAGGTTGACTGTGTGCACTTGAAGATTTCACACTGAAAGATGCGCACTGCCTTAAACTGAAGCCACGCATGCACACAAATATTTTATGTGACTTTGCAACACAACATTGTCGTCTGCAAAGTTCACACTCTAGAACTGCATGATCAAGTTACAAAAAAATTGCAAAACAACTTATAAGGTTTTAAGTACGTTCATGATTTTGTGATGGGCAACATTCATAGCCACCTTGGGGCACATGCACCCCACGGGCTGCAGGTTGGACGCCCCTGGTGTAGGTCTTCGTTCTGCCACCCACACCAGCTTAAATCCTGACACCCAGGACCAGAGAGCAGAAGATCAGGTGACGGGTAGGACAAAGGAGAGGAACACCCAGTCCTGGGCCAGCCGTTCCTTAATCACAGTGTCTTGCCCTCTTACAAGCCATAAACCTCCCCGCAGATTGTCTGCTTCTTCAGAGGAAATGGCTCATTCTGGTAGCGCTTGTGGTTCTTTATTTGCTTTAGGTGGCACAATGGTTTTCCTGCCGTCAAACAGAAATTCCCCAGTTGGCACCCGATCACACAGTTTTGCTTTGCTTGGGTGCCTGCAGAATTGAGGTGAGGAAGAGGCAAATGACAGGTGCTTGGCTTCTCTGCAGCGAACGGCCTTTTCCCTGGGAACGTATCCTTGCTCCAAAAGCCAGAGATGGGGGAAGAAGCCCTTCCAGCTCAAGGGCTGAACTTTACTTCACACATCTTCTGGGGGTGGAGGGCACGTGCCATACAAGGTGGAGGGTTACACGAAACTGTTAACGAGTTACGGAGCCTTCGGAGAGATGCGCCAACTTTTCAGAAAGGGGAAAATGCAGCAAAGTTGGGGAAATGCTAAAGGTACAGACAGGGAAACCTGCAAAGCCTGGATGGGATCCCAGCCCTGATGTTCTGCACCCCTAAGCTCAAGGAACCAAGGCCCTGTATTTTTCAGTCTCGGTGGCATGTCCGGAAGGTTTGGGTGTCATTTCGCTTGGTTCCATGGGTTTTAAAAATAACGGTAGAAGTGTGGTACTCTGTTTGAGTTTTCAGAGAGCCGATTGCACAGCGACAGAGAAATAATTGGATAGTGATCATCCGAAATGGATACAAAACCCTTGAGAAACCTTGAGCATTGGTCACATTTTGCATTCCTGAAGGGTTCTTTCCCGGGGGAAGCAGGATGTTGTGTTACCAGCTCACACCCTCTTGGCACTGTTAGTGCCAGGGATGGGCGGCACAGCCCTCGCTTAGATGCATCGAGTGTGAAACTGAGTTCAAGGTGAGCATCTCACTTGGTGCGGATGGGGGAGACATTTGGATTCATGCAGAACAGGCTTCCATGGGAACTTCCTGGTTCATATGTTTCTGGGGCTGAAGCTTAGGGTCGCTGGAGAGCGCCAGACCTGTCCCTCTTCCCCAGATGTTATGCCAAAAGCTGCGATGGCTCACAGGGTTCCACCCGCTCCTGCATCTTGCCTCTCCACAGCAGCAGTGGCAGGTTGCTTTCCTTCCAGTTTTCGTGGGGAAGCTCCCTTGCATCTTTGGGATCAAACGGAAAAATAAGTCTGCGTTGGGCGATAGTTTTTGCCTAGAAATGGCACGATGATCGTAGAATCCTAGAATAGTAAAGCTGGAAGGGGCCATGAGGGCCGCTGCTGTTGCAGGACACCGATTCACGCCATCCCACTCAGAGGGCTGCCCAGTGTCTCTCTGGATGTCTCTGGTGTGATAAAGTTTCACAACTATGCTAGGCTGCTTTCAGGACAGGTGGCCAGGTGGCTGATGTGATTTCCAGCTGAACGTAAGCTGTGGTTTTCACCTTGCCAAGCCTGAGGCAGAGCCCAGCCCTCTTGGAGTCTCCCGGTGACCCTGGGATTCCCCCGAGGGCCACGCGCTTTTCCTACATCCAGGAGTTGTTTGGTGGTCCTTCCACCCTCCATGGCATTTTCCCTCATCTGAAAAGTCTGAAGGCATTTCTGAGGCTTCGTTGCTAGCAGTAGCAGCCTTGACTGCCATTTTGGGTAGAGAGGTGGGGTATGCCAAATAAATAAAAGTTTTAGGCTGCCTAAAGCTGGTATTTTGGCCTCACCCCCTTGGTCTTCAGCTCTGCAAAACCCTGGAACAGAACCCTGAAGAGCTTTTTAGAAACTGAATCGTCGCTTGGCTGAAAGCAGTCCCCCCCTGGTCCTATCCTCCTCAGAGACTTCTTCCTTATAAACGTTCCTTGGGCATTAAAGTCTTTGCATGGGGAGACCTTCTTTGGGTATCTTCTTCTGAGGGCGGAACCTGCCAGCAGGGCCTGCTTGGGAGTGGCCTCCTTGTGCACAAAGTATCCCCCCCTGTGAGAGCTATAGTGTTGCTGTACCTCTGGAAGCAGGCCAGGCCCATTCTGTTCCAGCAAGCCTTGGGATGGCCAGGCGTTCCTCCTGGCTGCGCCATTTAATAAGCTTTTCCGCTGCAGCCAGCCATTTGTCTGCTGGGAGATTCACTTTGAACAGTCCGTCAGTTGATGCATTATTGTAATGGCCTTCCAGAGAGCTGATTCTAGTGAGCAGCTTTCAAACAAACAAACAAACATAAAGAATGCTTTTTCAGTGGAAGCCAAAATTTTGGAGCTGTTTTTCTGATAGTTCGGGTCTCCCTGCAGTTTTTGGTGAGACACCCACCCAAATTTTTAGGCGATGCCTTTCACGATGTGGGGAGAATGTAAATTGTGTGTGTGTGTGTGGGCACACGCAAAAGAGCAAGAAATGGGGTGGGTGGGGAAACAGGTAGCAGCTTTGAAAAATTAGTAAATGTGGGGTTTGCCACACCACAAATACTCTGAAAACGGATGCAGCTTCCGATAGTAGGTTTGCTTTCCCCGATATGGCATTATTTCATTGGGTCTGTTTGTTGACTTTTACTACAATGTTGTCTTTTTGGTGTAGATTAGATTCTCTGCCTTGGTCAGTTTGGGATTTTATTTTGTCTGGCTCCGTTTCTAAATAGGTGGCGCATTGCAAGAGCTGGTGGAGGAGTATGGAGTCCATGGCATCAGCTCCCCTTCGATCCATTTTGTCCTGCTGTGTGGACACTGCAGAGCCCCTCTTGCACATTTTTGGGCAGGTTGCAAACACCTAAGATAATCAGATGCAATATAAATGGTTAAAACGATAAGAAAAGTGCTTAATTTTTACTGGATTGTGCCATAAAACTCCCAAGACCAGAATTTTAAAGTAGGGAAGCAATTCTCGGACCAGTAACTCTTAACCCCCATTCCTTCTCTTTTGCAGAAATGGAAAGGTGGCGTTTTAGCATCCATCAAAATCTGCTGCTACTTCGGAGCTGAACAGGAGACAAACATTCATGGGGTTAGAGAAGGACATTTGAAGGTGCCTTCTTACTGCATAAGATCTTGATTGCAAATAAGACTTCTGCAGAAGAGCAAGTGAACCACCAAGAATGCTGTTCTTCTTGTCCCATTTCCTTTTCCTGCTGCAAGGTAATGTAACATGTTTTTTGCCTCTATTTGGAGTGTGCCATTGCCCACTTTGGCCTCTGTAATTATATTGCTCCTTGCATTAAGTATACTGCAGCCTTTCCCAACCAGGTGCCCTCCAGAAGTTTCGGACTCTGCTCCTGACAGAGATAGAAACAGAGAAACAGAGCGAGTCAGAAGGGGCCTCCCAGGCCATCTAGTCTGACCTCCGGCACCAGCCGGCTCCGCTCACGACATACCCACCATGTGCATTATGGGGCATGTCTTCCTTCCTTCCTTCCTTCCTTCCTTCCTTCCTTCCTTCCTTCCTTTATTTATTTAAAACATTTCTGTGCCGCCCCCATCACAACAAAGCCTCGGGGCGGCTCACAACATATATAAAATACAATCAATAATTTAAAAACTGGTACCATCTCGGCTATATATTAAGCACCTGGGAGGCGTCAGCTTGCCCACCCTCGTGCTTCCTTAACTCTTTGCTGCTAATGTGCAATGTGGGAAAAACTCTCCCGCATGCCGATGGATCTAACAGAGTCACTAGGAATGCTGACTGATGTAATGTTCTAACTCAGAATCTCTTTGGATGACCTTGATGACGGAACACACCTATTTTAATGATGCATTTGATCGGTGCAAAGATTTCTGGGCTGCAGGGTGTTCCTCCAGGGCCTGACATCACGCCACGTTTTGTTTTGGGCCTGTGTGCAACACAGGTATTTGTGGCAGCGGCAGGCACGGAGAAGACTTCAGGTTTTGCGCTGAGCGGATGCAAACGGAAAAAGGCCACCTCCGCTACAAGAGCCAGGAGAACGCAATCAGTATAGCAAACAGCGCGTCCGAACTGGCAGTGAGTGCGCCGTTCTCACCAGAACGTCAGCAGAACACCAATATTTCGGAATCCAGGACGTGGCCCCTGCCAGAACTCCCGGGCAGCTATCGCTTCTGTGTCTACTGGTTTCAGCATGCACGCATTTTCATGCTCAGCTACGGCAGCACCAAAAATTACACCTTGAGTAAAGGCGCTGCTTATTTCCTCAATTCTCCCAACATAAGTGGAGAAGCAACAGAAGGAGGCACCCGCCTGCTGTTCAATGTCTCTTATGCCTTCGACAAAGGCTGGCAGAACAAATCCCTTCCCAGCTCGTCAGCCTACTTCTTCCGCTTCACAGGTGAGTTCTGCATTTTGGAATACAGAGTTGTGCAAAGGAAAGAGTGCAGCTATTGTGGCCTCTGGACCATATTTGCTTGGTGGGGGGTCCTTTCCTGGGCACCCAGATCTGTGTGCAGGGCTGGTGTTACATGGGGAAGACCTGTTGCCCTGTGAGGAAGAAGAGGGCACGTTTGCCGTGAGATTTGAGTAGTCCTGGGACGGGAAGCGAAAGCGGGAGCGAGCAATTCCAGGGAAAGCAATCTGGACATGATGAGATGCTTCAGAAGGAATGTTACTGATTTTATTTATTCGAAATATTTACTTTATTTAAGTGAAGTAAAATTTGTAGGCCATCTGTTACAAAATTCTGTATGGGGCAGGATACAACCGTGCCATTCATAGTGCAAAAGGTGTTCCTTGGTGGATATTTGGTTCTCCCTGTGTTGAAAGGGGAAAACCTGCTGGAGTTGTGTGTCTGGAGTTGTTCAGGCAAGAGCTGTCGTGGGCAAGCGTGTACGCAACAGAAAGACTTGGCAATGCTTGCCTGGTGGCCTTTTGTTTTGGAACGGCCCATCAGAGAAAGCAAAATAGTAATGCAACAGGGAGGCATCGCTGAAGTAATGAACACCAGTGATAAGGTACCACTCCTTGGCCAAAAGGTTCCATCAGGATTGGTCCCGTTGGCTGAGGGGTGTTAGGAGCCCAGCACATCTGGAGGGCACCAGGTTGGGGAAAGCTGTCCCAGAATCAGACACTGCTCTGCAGTCTCGGGAAAGGATTTCCTTGCAGGCTGCCTGTCTGAAGCGGGGCTGAACTTGCCCGTTTACTGTGCTTGATGATTGTATCCTGGGTGCAGAGCCATGTGCCAGAGCTGGGTGGACTTGGGATCTGTGGGATTTCTTTTTAAAACTAGAGCTTCCTGGCCAGGTAATCCAAGCCGAATGGAAAATGCGGGTAGCGGGGAAATAGTTCCATCCTGTACCGCTCGAGACATGCATTCCTCGTCATTCCAAAATGATAATATAAAATAAACCTCTGCGTCTGAGGTCCTAGAGCTGAGGGACTCTAACACAAAGCTGTCAAAGAGGCTGGTCTGAGGGCACACAGCCTGGGCGAGGCAGCCAAGAAATGCGCCCATTTTACACTGAGGTTAAAGAGGTGTGACAAGAGCACAGACAGACCTGGCACAGTTTATTAAAAAAAAAAGCAGAACCAACCACTTTCCATTTTAGTTCCTTTTGTTAAATTATTGAGAGGCAGAAATGGATGCTCAGCAATTCACCAGGAGAACCACTAGTTAATCAGAAATTATGCCGCTGTGTGGGGCATCGAGGCCCTGACCCCTTGGCCGCCGGAAATCCTGCCGAGTCCCTTCGCTGTTCCTGAGAGTTCACTGGGGTGGATCGCACTTGTAAACCTGCCTTTGCAAGCATGAGAACTAGAAACCCTCTTCTGAAAATTGAAAGTGGAGATTCCTGGGTTGCTGACTGGGCTTTCCACTGCCATTTGCTGCTTGCATGAGAGTGCGATGGAATCAGGTTGTCCTGCAGTAACCAGCATCGAAAACCTTCTTGCGGTTCCTTCCTCGCTTTGTGCAATAGATTCTGGAAAGAGGAGGCAAGAAAGCAAATCTGACCAAAGAAGTGATGTGGAAAGCGAGTTCAGAATCGCAGAAGCAAAGCTGAAGGACTTGGAAATGGCCAGGAGGCTGCCCAGACATGGGCAGAGCCACAACGAAAGCCCGTTCGTGTGAGTGTTTGTCATTTGCGTTCTTGGCCAAAGGGGCCACAGTTGTTTCTCGGCTGCAAGGCAGGGGTGCTTGGTGTTGTACGAAGGAAAGGAGCTGCAGGAAGTATTTGCGTGCATGCTTTGGCCCAAGGGGCTGAAGTCAATGAATCAATCGATCACTCACTCACTCACTCACAAATAGAAGAGTGAGGCACCATGCACTTTCAAAGCACGCGTGACTAAGCGTGCATGCCATGGCTGCAAACACTGGAAGGCAAGAAAGCTGGCCCGGCCCAGCCTCTGCTTAGGTTCCTTCCTAGGGGCCCAGGCCCTGCAGCTCATCTCTTCTGCCTGCAGGCCCCCTGCTGTTCAGCTGCTGCTACTGCAGCCACAAATATTTTGTGAGTCTCTTATAAGCAAACCTGGGGCTTGCGTGTTGCTTTCTCGGGATTCTAAACATTTCAGGCTACGGCAGGGGCAGATGGTATGAATGAGGCTGTCCTTCAACCTTCATTTGTGGGATTTTGCAGGGGGTCCAGAGACTGCCGGGAATTGTGGTCCAACACACCTGGAAAGGTGTCTATATCAGGAAGGCTGCAATGTGCAAAAACTCAGAAATAACCCCACACCCCTTTTATTTATTTATTTGAAGTTTTTCTATGCCGTCCCATTACTAAAAGTCTCTGAACGGCGTACAGAGGACAAAAAACCAAAAAAACCAAGAGCAAAAACCATAACAACAGCGAGCAACACACTGCATCCAATAAATAACGATAAAAAGAAGGATAAAACCAATTAATTGTTAAAATACTGGGAGAAAAAAGGTCTTTGCCTGATGCCGAAAAGAGTAGAGCAACGGCACCAGGTGAGCCTCCCTGGGGAGCGTATTCCACAGTCGGGGCGCCACTGCTGAAAAGCCCCTTCTCCGAGTAGCTACCCTCCTCATTTCCTTCAAAGAGGGTTCCTGGAGAAGGACCCCTGCCTCTGATCTCAAGGGGCGGGCGGCACATAGGGAAGAAGGTGCTCCTTCAGGTATCCAGCACCCAAGCCATTTAGGGCCTTATAGGTCATCACCAACACCTTAAATTGGGCCCAGACTTCAATTGGAAGCCAGTGTAAGTGATATAGGACCAGCGTGATATGGGAGTGCCCGCCAGTCCCCGTTAATAACCCGGCAGCTCTTTTCTGGGCCAAATGAAGTATCCGGACTGTCTTCACGGGCAGCCCCACGTAGAGTGTGTTGCAGTAGTCCAAACGGGAGGTTGCCAGAGCATGGGTCACCATTGCCAGGCACTGCTCATCCAGATAGGGGTGCAGCTGATGGACCAGCTGAAGCTGAAGAATAGCGCTCCTCGCCACTGCCAGTACCTGATGTTCTGGGAACAGGTCAGGGTCAAGGAGCACTCCCAAGCTGCATACCTGTCCTTTAGAGGGAGTCCAGAACAGGGCAGAAATCACTCACCTGGAAGGCTGAACCAGCTACCAACAGGACCTCCGTCTTGTCAGGATTAAGCCTCAATTTATTGGCCCCCATCCCGTCCAGGACCCTGGCCACACACCAGTTAAGGGCTGACTAGTCCCTTTGCCATCAGTATTCACAGAGATGTCTGGTGAGCCAAATTGTTTTTGCGTCTACTAGTGCCGTTGGCTCCAGTCTCCACATCAGGTCCTCTCCTCAGGTTGGCAGGAGTCTGGGCTACGTCCAGGGAGCTAGAAAGCAGCTCTGTGTGGTCCACAATTGCTTCAGCCCGACTCAGTTTCCCCCTTCTCAACAGGGCTCTCCAGCACTTGGAGTCTGCATTGGGAGCCATGGAGTTCCAGGGGCAGAACAAGAGTTTTGGGGAAGGAGCCCTGCTGCGCGCCAGCATCTGGAAGGTCCCCTCCCGCGGTCCTCACGAGCTGCTCGTCAGGTCTCAGCTGCAGGTGAGTGCGGTGGAATCCGCAAGGAGCTGAGCTAGCCAGAGAAGGCCTGAACCATAAAGCATCACGCCGTCCTTCGGAAAAGCGACACAGAGTCTGGG